ATTTTTATATTTTTTTATATTTTACCCTTTATTTGGCAACATGGTTTGACTTGCTCACTGTTCATATGTGTATGTTTGTCCAGACCATATCTCTGAAACTAAAAGGTAATCTTTCATGACACCTTGACCACACAAAAACAAGGTTGTCAAATGGTGCCTTTTGCTATTTAGAGACTATTTGAATATATATTTTTTTGATAACTCAATGTATACTCATGTATACGGCGTCGTACACAGGACCACGTGCCACCATCAAGCCAAGTGGACGGTAAGGGGTAAAAAAAAGGCCATGAACAATCTAAAAAAATATACATAGAAGTACTGCATATTGTAATGTTTCACACTCGTCCATGCACAGGAAATATTCACCTCTGATGTAATATGCGCCTGTTCATGTGACACAGTGGTCATGTTCTGTCTCGTTTTATAAGCATAAAGGGACATCCGTAAAAAATATTTTCTCGATTGATTTAAAAGAAAAGAAACGTAATAAAAGAAAGTGCAGTAGATTATCGTTCTCAGCTATCGTTCTACACAAACCAAGCAGCCTTATGAGGCATGGTTTTCAGTCACATATGCGTGATTACACCACAGTCATGTTTGGTCTCGTTTTCTCAGCAGCAGCGGCCATCTGATTTTTGTGCTCCCTATGTCTTTTATAATAAAGCATCTTGTCTCGACTGATCTAAAAAACAAAGCAAAAATGAATAATAATGAATGTGCAATCGATGATAATTCTCAGCTTCCTGGGGGTTAACACATGAGAAGCTTCAAGGTTTATGGACACACGACCATCTCACTATACAGGGCACCCTTTCACTGCTGGGTGAACAGGGACTCTTCGAAGGAAGTCACTTGTCTAACAAAAAGAAACCACATTTAAACTGTGTTTCAGTATTTTGCAGGATCTGACGAAACCCTAGAAAAACTCACCACGTTAGTCAAACTAATCCTCCATCCACCTACTCTCTGCAAACAACGCTGCATAACTTGTGCCTAATTTGTGATTCTTATACAATACACAGGACCACGTGCCACCATAATGAAAATGTTTCCTGTATGATACATCGATACATTCAACATGTATACGATAACAATGTTCTCAACGCTTTGTGGCTGATACAGTAACGACGTAACTCAAAATAAATTTGGACTCACTCCATTGTTCCTTTATGTGTTTCTGTAAAAATTTGTTGAGGCAAACTTACACATGTTTTGTGGGTTTCAAAACAAATAAAACAATACAATTTCTAATGCTTGGTGAACATAGGCATATTGTGAACAAAGCAGACACTATATCAACGTTTTGTTGGACAGAACTGAAGCCCAAGAAACTCTCAGTCCAGCTGGTCAAATTGGTCAGCCACCCACTTCATCGACCAACTCCTCTTGCCATTTCCTGGTTTGTGACCCAATACAATACACAGGATCATATGCAACCATGAACAGGTTTTCTGTTGCCACAGGTGTGAGTGGCGGGCGGAACTCGTAGGCTTAACCTTTTTGAGAAAACCAGGTGTCATCTTTGATCTCCAATGATCCATTTATATAATTTTCACTACTGTTTTATCTTTGATGGCCAATGGAATCTGTTTTGTCGCATTGTCGAGACTGGTCACTCTCTGGCGTTGATGCACTTATGTAAAAACGTTTCCAGCGTGAAATGTGGCAGAAAAAATAGATGTTACATTATATTTTTTAATGTCAGGGATTGTGATTATTTGATTTTGTGATTGTGTGATCGGCTGGTCACCATCAACCTTCTCTCCGCGACCAACACTATCACATGTATACACAGACCACAATAATGAACAGTGATTATTTGAAATTTTACCATGACATTGCTAAATACTTGATTCTGATTGGATAAAAAGTGGTTTCCTTTTGGCTATGGAAACCACTTTCACATATATTAAGCGCTCGGTTCCAAATTATAATAAGAGGTATCTACACTACATTGGGACAATATCAAATTTCAAAACACAGAAGGTTTATATCCTAATTATCAAAAGGATTTAAACAGTATTTCACATGGCCTCTAATGTTGATGTTCAAATATATTTTTAGATTGTGCATGTCCATTTTGTACCCCTTACCGTCAATTTGGCTTGATATGAAATGGGGAGGAGCTGTAAATTGTGAAACGCTTATGGGCATGTTTTTCCAGCAGTCCTTTTTTGTGTACTATGTATGCTGTTTAGTAAATAGCTGTGGAGGAAACAGAACAAAATTGCCGTACCGTGCAACTGAATGGATCGGTTGGTCGATGGCTTGATACATACCTGGACGGATTGGGGCGTTGCACAAAATAGACTCGATAATTTACTGGACGTTGTCATATATCTGAAATGTTGCTGACTGCGACGTTAAACAACAAACAAATAAAAGCACACAACGGGCCTTCGTGTGAGGGGACAATATTTCCGGATGCTGTATCGACAGGGATCACAATTTTCAATATAACAATGTTCAATGTTTGCAAAACTAAATTTAGTTTATTACAATAAACCCTGGTCATAGAAATGCACATTGTGTACACAAAGACACATACAGAATTACGCTGCTGTATAATACAGCTATTTTTAAGTTATACAAGTCCTATTTTTACACCTTAACTTTTACATGGCTGTGGGCAGATAGGGAAAAGGTATATGAATATATATGGAATTGAAGCACTTCTTGCGCAGATTTCTACCAGCAGTCCCAGATATTGTTACAAGGAGTATACCGGAAAGCGGTAAACGAAACAACAAATGGCCAATCTGTTGGCTGTAAGTTTTCGGGTTTATTATCTTTCTTTGTATATCTTTTGCTAGGACGCGAACGAGGATCGAACCAACAACACCCTCTTTTAGCTAAACTACATCACTGAAGCAGATGACTAATCCTGCTGGCCCCCACAAATCTGAACAAACAAAAAAGAGTGTTACTTTAAGTCAAACTTGATGAGAGAATTATATTTAATCTTTTTGTCCGTATACATTAGTGGTTATTGAGTTATCAAAAAATTTAAATTCAAATAGTCCCAAAATAGGAAAAGGCACCATTTTATAACCTTGTTTTTGTGTGGTCAAGTTGTCATGAAAGAATACCTTTTAGTTTCAGAGATATGGTCTGGACAAACACACACATATGAACAGTGTGCAAGTCAAACCATGTTGCCAAATAAAGGGGAAAATATAAAAATTCTAAAAATCCATAAATAGCAACAGGCACCAGTCGACAACCTTGTCTTTATATGTGCAAAGTCTCATGAAATAATACCTAATCATTTTTGAGATATGATTCGGGCAAACACACCAATGTGAACAGAGTCAAAGTCAAACTTGTTGCCGTGGAAACAGAATTATTTTTAAAATATTCCTAAATAGCAACAGGCACCACTTCAGCCCCTGATTAATACATGTACCAAGTTGTGATGAAAATGTTGAATACATTTTTAAGTTTTTCATCGGAAGTGTTGGCCAAAAGGGTAAGTAGGTCCTGCTCTGCCGAAAGCATCCGCCACTCACAGAAATTGATCAGAAATAAGAAAGTGTGTGTTTGTTGCCTCACGTCGCTCCTATCATACGACGGCGGCCTGTAAACAATCTGGTCTGGACCAGACAATCCAGTGATTTGAATTATAGGAAATGATCCACGTCGTCGGGGTATGACCACCTGATGACCAACCACACATATACAGATTGTGATATAGACGACAATCAAACTGCAGATACCTCGTGTCAAAATATCCAGCTCGTCTGCAGCCTAAACAGCGGCTGTTCAGTCATACTCAGTTCCAGTGGTAATCATATTGCACCAGCAGACTCGACCATTCCCAGTAAATCTACAGGTTAATGTCGAATCACATTATAGATCTGGGTTGTCATCTTGCTTCTTTTAACTAATAACGGTCATGGTCATTTCAAACAGTGCAGAGCGGTTTGGTAGAAATTAAAACATCTGTCCTTGGACTAAGTTTGGAGTGCTATTTGTCAACTTCATTTTGAATAAACTAAGTGTTTTGAACACTTATTTTGAACTACTCACGACTATGTTCTTTTTAATCTTCAACTTAAGCAATAAGTGTTACATATATAACCACCTGTGACCACTTTTCGGAATGTTCTTAGATTGCAGACCAGCGCACCCTGTGTTGTTACGACTTGCAAGAGAGCACCGTTTTCAAACCGTTGTTGACCTCATGGTAGAATGGAGATAAAGCTACTGTGTTTTGAAATTTGATATGTCCCACTGTAAAGTAGATACCTCTTATTTATATATTTGAAACCTTGTGCTAAAGCGCTCGACTCCAAATTAAAATATGAGATATCTATTCTACAGTGGGACTACATCAAATTTAAAAGCACAGTAGGTTGATCTCCTAATTAGACATCATTTAAAGGTCACTAGCCATTTGGCCTAATAATTGGGCACCATCTTCCTGAGTTAAAGACAATTGAAGAATGTACAGATGCCCTTCTCTTTCCATAGACTGGATCAATGTCACAGATGCCCTTATATGTTCCTTCATATCTATGTCAAGCAGTTCTGACTGAGAAAAGTAGATGGACATTTGAAGTTAAGTGAGTATTTATTTTTCATTATTATAATAACATGATGCTTCACATGGTATGTTTCTAAAATATATATATAACAGCAAGTTAACGATGAATATGAGACTCACAGAACAGTTTAATCTGGTACATATGTTCTTTCCAAAAAGAAATTGGAACCACATTTCAAACTATTCAAACACACTATTTCCTTACATCATACTAAACATGGATAATGGTACAAATGAAGGCACCTATAGACCACCATGCGACACGAGAAAGTTATGCACTTAACTGTTCTTTCTTCGTTTCGCAATCAACCTGCTGTGTCTCCTTGTTTGGTCCTGGCGTTAATGTTCAGAAGGTTCTTTGAAAAGATATACTTAACCATGTCTAGAGTTCCCTTAGTACAGACCAAGTGAAGGATGTTCTCACCATTATAAGTCACCATTGACATATTACCTCCTCTTCTCAATATGAAGTCAAACACTTCTCTAGGTGCCCGCTGTGCTGAGAGCCCCAATGCTGTCTTCCCATTCCAACGTCTGCTATTGATGTCTACAAAATATTGAGAGACAACGTATTTAACCATCTCCAAATGTCCCCCAATGCAAGCCGCATGAAGGATGTTGGTTTCTTCCTTTGCCGTCAGTGACACATTACTCCCTTTACTCATAAGAAAGTCCAACATTTCTCTGTTTCCCAGTCTTGCTGCCACCATCAATGATGTCCATCCGTGTTGTCCTCTTCTGTTGATGTCTACCTTGTTCAGTGAGAGGACATATTTCACCATCTCCATCTGTCCCCCAGCACAGGTATAATGTAGGATGTTGTTACCACGTCGATCTCTCAATGACACATCAGCTCCTTCACTTACAAGAACGGCAAGCACATTTCTATAACTCCTATTTGCTGCCATCATCACAGGTGTCCTGTTGCACTTCGTCCTACTGTTGATGTCAAGGATATTCTGTGATAAGATATACTTTACCATCGCCACATGTCCTATACAAGTGGCTATGTGAAAAATGTTGTAACCATGATCTTTCCCGCCTGTCCCTGCAGTTGACATCCAGCTGCCCCTCAGACAAGATACGTCTCACCATGTTCAGGTCCCCCTCCCAGCATGCATCATGAAGTTGGTTGTCCATTGACCTGCCCTCCTGGTCACATGGTTTATCTTGTATGTATCTTTCAGGAGAGAACTGCTTTCCACCTGTATATATTGGAAAGTTGATATAAATATCTGAAATAAATAGTCAGCGTTTGATTGTAGTTTATATCACACTTTGTCTGTGTGGTTGGTGATTAGTTGACTTGGTTGACAGCGTGGAATCAACCCCCAACGACATGAATAAATCCTCATGATACTGATCACATGATTGTCAGGTCCAGAACCGATTGTTTACAGGCCACCTTTTTATGACAGCAGTATTGATGGATGGGGAGTAAAGGCAACCAACAAACACTAACTTTTATCTGAAAATTGTTAGTGGCGGTTGGTAGCGCATTTCCCTTTTGGCAAACATCAGGCGTCATCACTGATTTTCAGTGATCCATTCATATAAATTTTATCACTATTTGCTTTTTATCTGTTTGAGCGAATAATAGCGACGAGAGTACTGTTTCTGTGAATGATAGTTTTCTTTCTGGAAATTTAACATTAAATGTAGAAATTGTTGTGGCATGTATAAGAGAAGTTAATGCATTCTTAATTTTGAGGAACATTTGTCTCAAACATAATGATGCAGTTACCTGTAACACAAACCGATTTTCCAGATCGAGCCTTCAAACATCGGGTCGTGACACTGCAAGACTTGGCTACACAAGGGCTTGTTGGAACCTTTGGTCAGAAGTAAGAAAAACTATATGATCATGTTCTATATGCAACGGGCTTTTGTTGATATACCAACATATCTGTATAGTTACCGTGGGCATGGCATTCATGGCTGTTAATGGATAGCATCGAAAAAGTTGCCCCAAACAAACATCTGTATATTTATTGTGGTTACAGTTCCTTCTTGAGTGTCAGTCTATATATTGTTGTGTTAGTTCTTACATGTCTGCATGCATTATGCGGATGATGCTCATGTGTATGTTTGGATGTATACCTTTATATGCATCTATGTTTGTGTACATACACATTTATCTTTAGACCCAGGTAGAGAATAGGTCTTCAGCAACCCATGATTGCCGTAACAGGCGACTATGCTTGTCGTAAGAGGCGACTAACGGGATCAGGTGGTCAAGCTCGCTGACTTGGTTCACACATGTCATTGTATCCCAATTCAGTAGATCGATGCTCATGATCTCAATCACTGTTTGTTTGTTTGTTTGTTGTTTAACGCCGCACTCAGACATATTTCAGTTATATGACGACAGTCTGTAAATAATCGAGTCTGGACCAGAACATCCAGTGGTTTATTTACAGACCGTCGCAATATCGCTGAAATATTGCTGTGTGGCGTTAAACAACAAACAAACCAAAACAGAAAACATGTATTGTTGACCAGCGTAAACAGACAGTGGGTATCATTCTACAAAAGTATATATGAATAATCAGGGAATTATACAAAATATACAATATAAACTCAACAACAAAAGTTCCTGAGACACCAATATTTTGTGTATTTTGGTTTTCAATACAGTCCAATGCAGTCAGAGACCATCCTCGAAGTGGAAGGCCATGCGTAACCAAAATAATCGACATGACATCTGGATTCGAACAACAAACCCATGAAATCGATTCCAGCCAGCAACAGGTGACTGCAACAAGCATCCCTGGCTTGTTTAGGATTCTCTTCAACAAAACAACGTAACTGTCATTCCCTGGCCGGCTCGCGCCCCTGATCCAGCAGATATGGACACGTATCCCACAGGACTTTGTGCGACGCCTGGTCCATTCCCCGAGACGAAGATGTGCTGCTTGCATCGCAACCAGATTGTGTACACACATGCTATTGATTTGTAAATTGACATTTTGGCATGTTCATGTTTTTTATGAAATCACGCATTTTCTGAAGTGAGTATGGCAAATTAAACCATTTGAACACTTAGAGGAGTCTTTTATCTGTTGCAAACCGAAATTGTTTCAGATTTGGTAAAAAACTTAACTTTGCATTAAATCTTATTGAATGTCAAAGGAACTTTTGTTGTTCAGTATATACATACATACATACATACATACATACATACATACATACATACATACATACATACATACATACATTTATAAATTCTGACGGAATAGAGGATAAGGAGGACTAAGCTGGTTTATTTTAAGGTTGGCACAAACATTAAGCTTAAATCCTGAAGAAATCTTAGAGAAGCACAGGATGCACCACTCGGGACACAAATGTCCAGACGCTTCCTCTGACATATGCCACCAACCTGACGATGGAGAAAGCCAATATAATATATCACCATGTGACGTCCTACGTGTTGTCTATATCACGTTTCAAGTCATGCAGGACGACACTGTTTACGACACGTATTGATTTAGTATAGACTAAACCTATAAAATATTTATCTCTCGTCTTGAAAATAGCAAAGAAATGTCACATAAAACATCAATCAAATGATAAGAACAATTAACTATTGAACAGAGTTATAATAATTATTTACTGAATGACATATATCTTTAGCTTGATATTCGAGAATGATTATCATCAGGTAACGTGAAGAATGTGGTGACCATAATTGTGTAACCTCTCGACTTCCAAATTGAAACAATAAGAAAATCTAGAAATGTATGCGCCCTAACATTCAATAAGAAAACAACACATATCAAGGAAACGTATACAATTAGTACTGTCTTGAACTGTCCAGTGGCTGGTTTGGTTGTATATTTATAGTGGAACAAGAACGTGTTTACGTATCTCTCACACATTTCGTGTCTTACGTTTTTCTTTGCTTAGGTACCAGGTTTCTCGAGAACATCGGTCATCATCCCTGATTCCCTGCCTACCGGAAGCTTGGCCGTTGTCGACGCTGAGTGAATATATCTTTTTGTCACTGACTTATCCTATCACCACTTTATTTTTGTATTTGATACTGACCACTGCCATCATATTATATTGCCATTGAATATATATTGTACTCCCACAATATTGTGTACTGCCACTGTCATTGCTGTGCAGTAATTTGTATTGATGTGTACCTAGTTAATTTTTGTAATACCCTTGTTGATTGTATACCACTTGCTGGTTGTTCACACTGGGTTCTTTTACTTACATCTTTCTGGATTAACATATTGTTTCAATTTGGGAATTGACACGTAACATTGTGCAATCCATACATACCCAAAACCATGTGGGAATAGTATCTTACTCACTCATGTAGCCCGATTTTGGTGTTTTCCATCAATTTATACTTTCTAACATTTTTGGCATTGATGAGGGTGCTTCTGAAGTGACATTCTCAAGGGGACGAAGCCAGTACCTGGTGAGGCTGTTTACTTTGAAGTGCTTACAGTGTTCCGCCCTTTATAAACACGACGACTTTACTTTGTTCTAAATTGATATCCAGACCTCACATCATAGAATAGTCTTGAAGTTTATTTAATCTTCGTTGTAACTTGACAACATTATCAGCTACCCAGTGAAGATTCCGGGTAAGAATTGGCCTTCAGCAGCCCATGGTTTTTGTAAGAGGCGACTAACGGGATCGGGTGGTCAGGCCCGCTGACTTGGTTCATACAATTTCCGTATCCCAATTTTGAGGATCGATGATCATGATCTCAATCACTGTTTGTTTGTTTGTTGTTTAACGTCGCACATCACAAACATCGATCCACACAATTTCTTTTCCAGAAAATTGCTGAGTGCGACGTTAAACAACAAATAAACAGACAACATTATCAGACACCAAAACCAGATCTTTCGCTAAAAGCAGCTAGTCATGTTAAGCATTTTCTCCGATATAAATACTCCGTCTTGAAATGAACTGTTAAAATAAGTAGCGAGTTCAATAATGAAAAATGAAGTCAAATATTAAATATATAAATGAACTGCATGCTGAAGAATTTCTGGAAGACCCTTTCTAAAGCTGGCGGAATATTCTTCAATTAACGCATCCATTTGCAGATACGATTCTATATAGTCTCTTATTAAGATGTGTTTGTTTGTTGCAATGTTACCGCTATATAAAGGCGTTTTGTAAATAATCGAGTATCGACTAGCCAATCCTGTGATTGACATCATAATCATTGATTCACCTAATTCGGATACGATGACATGCATCAACTAAGTCAGCGAACCTGACAATCCGATCACGTCAGTCACCTCTTACGACAAGCATAGTCGCCTTGTACGGCAAACTTTGGTTGCTAAAGACCTATTTGTACCCCAGATCTACACAGGTCCTCTCTTTCAGAAGAAAGGTGGACATTTTCCCAAAGCCTGGTCAACTCGAATACTCATACCTGGACATAAAAAAAGAGAAACTGGACCGACCCCAAAACTACCGAGACACCAGTGTTAAAAACAGGCAAAAAAGATAAACCTTTGTTCGGAATAGAATGCAGACGATTTCGAAAGCAATATAATAGAGCAAAAATGTGTCTTAAAAATTAAAAACAAAACAAAACCAGAGAACCAAGAATGTATGGATGAGAATATACGTAAATATTAAGACAATTTAAACAAGCATGAAATACTCATATCCCCCTGCAAATATGACATGTCCGGTTGTGTGCAATGCATTAGCTCCTGGGAACTATGTTCACTGGACCGTTTTGTAAATGGCCTAATCGCAGCACTAAAAAACGTTATTACTGGTAATGTTTTGCCATCTGGAGTTTATGATAGAATACGTAACTGTATTTGTAATGAGTAAAGATGAGACATATGGACAAACAACTTCTTTATTACAATTAGGAGCGACGTTTTGGTGTAGGTTCTAACACCGTTATCAAGCAAGTGAAGTACATAGTATGGTTGACAAGAATATATACAGGACAGGAGACAGTGTTTATACAGTTGAGTAGGTTTAAGATCAGTTACACTGTTGTATTTGTAATGGGTTGTGTTATTACTTAAACAATAATCAGAGAAGTAAGGAAGTTCTTACTTTACTTAGAGATCAATGAGAGCAGGGGTCACCATAAGGTGTACTGAGAAGTACAGCACCAATCATCTGATGATCTGAGTAGTAGACTTTGGTATAAATCTTCACAGAAATCACCAACAGCAGACGCACCAGAATCAACGTACTGTCTAGTGCACGAAACGTTTACCGACCATAAGATTCTCTATTGAAGGCTTTTGATGTTACGGTATTACCTCTACTTCTCTACTATTCCGAAATATGGGGTTTTGAAAATTTAGAAATAATAGAGAAAATGTACCTGAAATTAAAAGAAGAGTAACTGGTCTGAGGAAATCAACACCCAATTTTATGGTTTATGTGGAACTTGGCATGAAACAGGTAATGACGAATATATGACTTGTGTCAAATCGGTGAATGATGAAGAATGTGGCTATATATAACAGGGAATGGTTCGTCATTGACAACACACATAAAACATTTATCTCTTGGTAAGATATGGAAAACCGATCCAACATCAGCTGGAAATAAGACTTAGTATCTATCTGATTGTAATGATATACATAAACTGAATTTGAAATATGTGGACAGGTGAATTCATTGTATCTCTTTGACTTAACTAGTTTGCGGTTGTTGTTATCGCTGTACGAAACGCAGTTAAAAGAAACGTGTTTCTACCAGGTACTATTACACATAAAGACAATTGAAATGTTTACAATTCGGCAATATAGACACACAGAAAAGTTTTAACCGGCACATATTTTCAGCCAAAACAAGAACACATTTCAAACACATATCCTGACGTCATACTAAACGTAGATTTCGTAGAAAAGTAACTTATTTGCCTCCATGTGATGCGAGAAAGTCATAGAGTTCAATGTTCTTTTTTTGTCTTGCTATCAACGTTGCTGTATCACCTTTGTTAGTCCTGGCGTTAATGTCCAGAAGGTTCTTTGAAAGAATAAACTTCACCATGTCTAGATTTCCATTCTGACAGACCAAGTGAAGGATGTTCTTGCCTTCTTTTGTCACCATTGACATATTACCCCCTCTGCTCAGAACGAAATCAAACACATCTCTGTGTCCCTTTATTGCTGACAACATCAGTGGTGTCTTCCCATTCCAACGTCTGCTATTGATGTCTACAAAATCCTGAGAGACAACGTATTTAACCATCTCCAAATGTCCCCCAATGCAAGCCGCATGAAGGATGTTGGTATCTTCATTTGCCGTCAGTGACACATTACTCCCTTTACTTATAAGAAAGTCCAACATTTCTCTGTTTCCCAGTCTTGCTGCTACCATCACTGATGTCCATCCACGTTGTCCTCTTCTGTTGATGTCTACCTTGTTCAGTGAGAGGACATATTTCACCATCTCCACCTGTCCCCCAGCACAGGTATAAAGTAGGATGTTGTTACCACGTCGATCTCTCAATGACACATCAGCTCCTTTACTTACAAGAACGGCAAGCACATTTCTATAACCCCTTTTTGCTGCCATCATCACAGGTGTCCTGTTGCACTTCGTCCTACTGTTGATGTCAAGGATATTCTGTGATAAGATATGCTTTACCATCCCCAAGTGTCCTATACAAGTGGCTATGTGAAAAATGTTGTAACCATGATCTTCAACAAGTGACACATTACTTCCTGCATTTATGAGAAGTTTTACGACGTCCTTATGTCCTGCGCATGCTGCCGCTATCACCGGTGTCCTTTCCCGCCTGTCCCTGCTGTTGACATCCAGCTGCCCCTCAGACAAGATACGTCTCACCATGTTCAGGTCCCCCTCCCAGCATGCATCGTGAAGTTGGTTGTCCATTGACCTGCCCTCCTGGTCACATGGTTTATCTTGTATGTATCTTTCAGGAGAAAACTGCTTCCCACCTGTATATATTGGAAAGTTGATATAAATATCTGAAATAAATAGTCAGCGTTTTATTGTAGTTTATATCACAATTTGTCTGTGTGGTTGCTGATTAGTTGACTTGGTTGACAGCGTGGAATCGACCCCCGACGACATGAATAATTTCTCATGATACTGATCACATGATTGTCAGGTCCAGAACCGAGGTGTTACAGGCCGCCTTTGTGTGGCAGGAAACTCCTTGATGCGGAGTTCAACAAACAAACACTTACTTTTTTCTGAAATATTGTGTGAGTGGCGGTTGCTACCAGTAAAGCTTTTTCCTTTTGACAAACACCGGGTGTCATCACAATTTTTCAGCTATCCATCATTTCAATTTATTGATATTTGCTTTTTACGACCCATGGAATCTGTTTTGACATAAAAGAGACGAGTGTACTAAAACAGTTTCTGTGGACATTAGTTTTCTTTCGGGAATCTTTTCATTGAAATTTAGAAATTGTTTTGGCATGTACAAGTGATTTCTTATTTGATGCATTCTTTATTTTGAGGAACATCTGTCTCAATCATTATCATCAAAATGATGCATTTACCTGTAACACAAACCGTTTTTCCAGATCGAGCCTTCAAACATCGAGACGTGACACTGCAAGACTTGGCTACACAAGGGCCAGTTGGAACCTTTAGTCAGAAGTAAGAAAATGTATATGATTATAATGTATGTGTGTTCTATATGAAACGGGTTTTGTTTGTGTGTTTGTTTGTTTTGTTTGTTTGTTTTGTTTGTTTTGTTTGTTGTTTAACGCCGCACTCAGCAATATTCCAGCTATATGACGGCGGTCTATAAATAATCGAGTCTGGACCAGCCCACCCAGTGATTGACATCATGAGCATCGATCTACCCATTTTGTATATGGTGACATGCATCAACCAAGTCAGCGAGCCTGACGACCCGATCCCATTTGTCGCCTCTTGCGACAAGCATAGTCGCCTTTTACAGCAAGGATGGGTTGCTGGCACAAGAGTGTGTATAGTTACTTTTGGTATGGCTTTTATGTGTGATGTCTGTAAAGAGATAGTATGGACATGTTTGCAATATGGAAACATCTGTATATTTATTGTGGTTATTGTTCATGTTTGTGCGTCTGTGTATATATTGTTGGTTTTGTACTTACATGTCTGCATACATAATGTGGATGATGCTCATATGTTTGTTTGTGTGTATACGTTTATAAACATAACTGTCAAAACGAAGCTTTCAGCTAAATTCTGTTTCTGAAAAGAAAATGATATTCTGTGGTAATAAGCATTCATGTAATTGATTTTATCATACTATTGTATGATGCAGATTATTAAGGGTTTCTTGTTAAATTAACACACCATGTGATAAACTTACGTCGGTTAGATTCCTAAGACGAAATATGTGTCTTGCATTCTCCTCAAAATTCTTTGATTCTGCACCCAGTAGGTGGCAGGTTAAATGTTCCAAATCGTATTCAAAACTCAAACAGCCACCTTGTTCGATACATTTGACTTGGCACAACTTAAAGCCAATGTTCCCAATAGTGACATAATTTCGAATTGTTGTGTCCCTTTCAAAAAAGCGGCATCGAATATTCAAGCACGTTGACGATGTAATAACAGAATAAGCTGCTACTATCAGAAGCATGTTCCCACAGTCACCGAGACACTTCATCCTGAAGAAATCTTAGAGAAGCACAGGATGCAGAGACTGATTTCACCACAGCTGACAAAAAACGTCCAGATACTTCCACTGGCTGATAGGACTGCGCCAGGTGACGTCCCAAGGTGATGTCCTGTGTCAAGTCGTGAAGAACGACAACGAAGTACTCATGAATAGATTAATACAGTATCTATTTCTAGTCTTGAACATAAGCATAAAGCATCAGTCAAATGATAAGAAAAAATCATTGATTAACAAAATGATAGTTATGATTTACTGGATCAGTGTGTCGCCAAATATTTGAGACTGGATATCTCTGCCGTTGACCAGGTGAGTCGCATTATACAGGATGGCACCTGTCGAAACATTCATTTTAAACTGTTGGCGGAAGATAATACGTCAACCGTTTCTTTGTAAACGTCTTCATCTTAGCAGCTTTTCATGTAATGGCTATTCCTGCTGGTGATATATTTTCGACACATTTTATATGTCAAATAGTGTATAATGTAGAGTTAAGTTACACACTGACACCACTAATATCACAAGGCCAAGGAAGACTAGACCAACCTATGGCTTAGAAGTATTGGGTTAGAGCACGACCAGGTCGCCCATATAACAAGGATCAGTTGGCACAGGCCTTCTGAGAAGAATGGTCCACTGAGATACCATCAATAAGTACCATCTTTCAACATCGTCTCGTATGATGCAGTCGGGAATCGAATCCCCAGGGCTTCCGCTCTGCGGGCAGACGCTCGACCAGACAGTCAGACAGACAATCCTCAGTTCAGGTTATTGTAATAAACTGTTTATATATATAATAGGCCTGGGTAATTCACATCACAGTCAGCAGCTGTTTCATACAGTTGGACAATTGGAGTCAATAACCTTGTCCAACTATACGACTTGCATGATATGGCTCTTGAATTGAGATCATATTTTCTCAAGCAGTTGGAGGCTAAATTTTGGTTTGCACAAAATTGTGACCTGTGCGTCATTTGTTTTCATGCGTGTTGATCCTTGGAAATATTTCCTAACATTATCTTTTCATTTAACTGAACATTTTCAAAGTAGGGTTGCATTCGTGATGTATTCTCGATGAAGGTGTCAGCTTTGATGAAACAAAAATGATAAATCATTGCATTTGCATGAATTACTTGTTAAAATATAGTGTTGCAAGATGCTAACGCTTGTTGAAACGTACTTTTCGCCCGCCTGGATGTGACATTATCATTACTTGTGAGTGAGTGCGTGAGTTACGGTAAACGTGGCTTATAACATTATTCCAGTTATATCACGGTGTGTCAGCTTAATAAGCTCGAAGTGATGCAGGTCGGTGAAACCCACGAGCGCGGGTAATGTGCTAACAAACCTAGAAACATAATCGGGGCGAACCAGGATTCGAAACCATAATCATAGGTTTCTGGTCGAACCCATAATCATAGGTTGCTGGAATGCCCAAGAGACGCAACTCTTCACAGCGAATCGCGGCGCATTCAACGACTGGGTCACCGGTGCCCCCTCAGTACTTGTGAGTTGAGGCTATTTGATTTGGTAGTTGCAATATCATCACTTAGCACTGTGGTTGACGTTGTGTCACATCACTTTCTCTAAACTTAACTATTATGAAACGCGCTTACATGGTGCAGTCAGCAATATTTCAGCTGTAACACGGCGAATAACAACGAATAATGTAGTCCAGGCAATTTTACAGGTCGACACTATTATCCACTTTATCCACTTTTAGCAACCCGATCCCCTTTCATTGATGCTTACTATAAGTGGGACCCTATTCTGCCCCCGAAATCCCTAGTTTTACTGACGGAAAGATCTTTTACATGTATCGGTGCCGTTCAAATATAAGCTATAATCATTCAGTTGTTTCTATATTACGTTTCGTTGACCTCATTCACCACGTCATCAGCAGAAGCGGCACTCAGCATGTCAACAATCTCCTGTTCTGTCCATCTAATATCACTTTATGTGAACTATTCCAAGAAAAGGTCAATCATGTTTTCGGTTGTATTGGCCTTGTTATTTCCCCTGGCATATAATACGGGGGGTCATCGTCTGGTCTTTCTGTCTGTCCGTCCCTCCCTGTCTGTCCGTCCCTCCATCCGTCCAGGTGTATTTCGGTTCCGGAGCATTACTTGAAAACCGTGAAATATTTTTCTTCCAAATATGATACATTTATTAAACAGGGGCTGAAGTGGCACCTTTTGCTATTTAGGAATATTGTTTTTAAAATTCTGTTTCCATGGCAACAAGTTTGACTTTGACTCTGTTCACACTGGTGTGTTTGTCCGAATCATATCTCGAAAATGATCAGGTATTATTTCATGAGACTTTGCACACATAAAGACAAGGTTGTCGACTGGTGCTATTTAAGGATTTTTATATTTTTTTATATTTTACCCTTTATTTGGCAACATGGTTTGACTTGCTCACTGTTCATATGTGTATGTTTGTCCAGACCATATCTCTGAAACTAAAAGGTAATCTTTCATGACACCTTGACCACACAAAAACAAGGTTGTCAAATGGTGCCTTTTGCTATTTAGAGACTATTTGAATATATATATTTTTGATAACTCAATTACCACTCATGTATACGGCGTCGTACACAGGACCACGTGCCACCATCAAGCCAAGTGGACGGTAAGGGGTAAAAAAAAGGCCATGAACAATCTAAAAAAATATACATAGAAGTACTGCATATTGTAATGTTTCACACTCGTCCATGCACAGGAAATATTCACCTCTGATGTAATATGCGCCTGTTCATGTGACACAGTGGTCATGTTCTGTCTCGTTTTATAAGCATAAAGGGACATCCGTAAAAAATATTTTCTCGATTGATTTAAAAGAAAAGAAACGTAATAAAAGAAAGTGCAGTAGATTATCGTTCTCAGCTATCGTTCTACACAAACCAAGCAGCCTTATGAGGCATGGTTTTCAGTCACATATGCGTGATTACACCACAGTCATGTTTGGTCTCGTTTTCTCAGCAGCAGCGGCCATCTGATTTTTGTGCTCCCTATGTCTTTTATAATAAAGCATCTTGTCTCGACTGATCTAAAAAACAAAGCAAAAATGAATAATAATGAATGTGCAATCGATGATAATTCTCAGCTTCCTGGGGGTTAACACATGAGAAGCTTCAAGGTTTATGGACACACGACCATCTCACTATACAGGGCACCCTTTCACTGCTGGGTGAACAGGGACTCTTCGAAGGAAGTCACTTGTCTAACAAAAAGAAACCACATTTAAACTGTGTTTCAGTATTTTGCAGGATCTGACGAAACCCTAGAAAAACTCACCACGTTAGTCAAACTAATCCTCCATCCACCTACTCTCTGCAAACAACGCTGCATAACTTGTGCCTAATTTGTCATTCTTATACAATACACAGGACCACGTGCCACCATAATGAAAATGTTTCCTGTATGATACATCGATACATTCAACATGTATACGATAACAATGTTCTCAACGCTTTGTGGCTGATACAGTAACGACGTAACTCAAAATAAATTTGGACTCACTCCATTGTTCCTTTATGTGTTTCTGTAAAAAATTGTTGAGGCAAACTTACACATGTTTTGTGGGTTTCAAAACAAATAAAACAATACAATTTCTAATGCTTGGTGAACATAGGCATATTGTGAACAAAGCAGACACTATATCAACGTTTTGTTGGACAGAACTGAAGCCCGAGAAACTCTCAGTCCAGCTGGTCAAATTGGTCAGCCACCCACTTCATCGACCAACTCCTCTTGCCATTTCCTGGTTTGTGACCCAATACAATACACAGGATCATATGCCACCATGAACAGGTTTTCTGTTGCCACAGGTGTGAGTGGCGGGCGGAACTCGTAGGCTTACCCTTTTTGAGAAAACCAGGTGTCATCATTGATCTCCAATGATCCATTTATATAATTTTCACTACTGTTTTATCTTTGATGGCCAATGGAATCTGTTTTGTCGCATTGTCGAGACTGGTCACTCTCTGGCGTTGATGCACTTATGTAAAAACGTTTCCAGCGTGAAATGTGGCAGAAAAAATAGATGTTACATTATATTTTTTAATGTCAGGGATTGTGATTATTTGATTTTGTGATTGTGTGATCGGCTGGTCACCATCAACCTTCTCTCCGCGACCAACACTATCACATGTATACACAGACCACAATAATGAACAGTGATTATTTGAAATTTTACCATGACATTGCTAAATACTTGATTCTGATTGGATAAAAAGTGGTTTCCTTTTGGCTATGGAAACCACTTTCACATATATTAAGCGCTCGGTTCCAAATTATAATAAGAGGTATCTACACTACATTGGGACAATATCAAATTTCAAAACACAGAAGGTTTATATCCTAATTATCAAAAGGATTTAAACAGTATTTCACATGGCCTCTAATGTTGATGTTCAAATATATTTTTAGATTGTGCATGTCCATTTTGTACCCCTTACCGTCAATTTGGCTTGATATGAAATGGGGAGGAGCTGTAAAATTGTGAAACGCTTATGGGCATGTTTTTCCAGCAGTCCTTTTTTGTGTACTATGTATGCTGTTTAGTAAATAGCTGTGGAGGAAACAGAACAAAATTGCCGTACCGTGCAACTGAATGGATCGGTTGGTCGATGGCTTGATACATACCTGGACGGATTGGGGCGTTGCACAAAATAGACTCGATAATTTACTGGACGTTGTCATATATCTGAAATGTTGCTGACTGCGACGTTAAACAACAAACAAATAAAAGCACACAACGGGCCTTCGTGTGAGGGGACAATATTTCCGGATGCTGTATCGACAGGGATCACAATTTTCAATATAACAATGTTCAATGTTTGCAAAACTAAATTTAGTTTATTACAATAAACCCTGGTCATAGAAATGCACATTGTGTACACAAAGACACATACAGAATTACGCTGCTGTATAATACAGCTATTTTTAAGTTATACAAGTCCTATTTTTACACCTTAACTTTTACATGGCTGTGGGCAGATAGGGAAAAGGTATATGAATATATATGGAATTGAAGCACTTCTTGCGCAGATTTCTACCAGCAGTCCCAGATATTGTTACAAGGAGTATACCGGAAAGCGGTAAACGAAACAACAAATGGCCAATCTGTTGGCTGTAAGTTTTCGGGTTTATTATCTTTCTTTGTATATCTTTTGCTAGGACGCGAACGAGGATCGAACCAACAACACCCTCTTTTAGCTAAACTACATCACTGAAGCAGATGACTAATCCTGCTGGCCCCCACAAATCTGAACGAACAAAAAAGAGTGTTACTTTAAGTCAAACTTGATGAGAGAATTATATTTAATCTTTTTGTCCGTATACATTAGTGGTTATTGAGTTATCAAAAAATTTAAATTCAAATAGTCCCAAAATAGGAAAAGGCACCATTCTACAACCTTGTTTTTGTGTGGTCAAGTTGTCATGAAAGAATACCTTTTAGTTTCAGATATATGGTCTGGACAAACACACACATATGAACAGTGTGCAAGTTAAACCATGTTGCCAAATAAAGGGGAAAATATAAAAATTCTAAAAATCCATAAATAGCAACAGGCACCAGTCGACAACCTTGTCTTTATGTGTGCAAAGTCTCATGAAATAATACCTAATCATTTTTGAGATATGATTCGGGCAAACACACCAATGTGAACAGAGTCAAAGTCAAACTTGTTGAAATGGAAACAGAATTATTTTTAAAATATTCCTAAATAGCAACAGGCACCACTTCAGCCCCTGATTAATACATGTACCAAGTTGTGATGAAAATGTTGAATACATTTTTAAGTTTTTCATCGGAAGTGTTGGCCAAAAGGGTAAGTAGGTCCTGCTCTGCCGAAAGCATCCGCCACTCACAGAAATTGATCAGAAATAAGAAAGTGTGTGTTTGTTGCCTCACGTCGCTCCTATCATACGACGGCGGCCTGTAAACAATCTGGTCTGGACCAGACAATCCAGTGATTTGAATTATAGGAAATGATCCACGTCGTCGGGGTATGACCACCTGATGACCAACCACACATATACAGATTGTGATATAGACGACAATCAAACTGCAGATACCTCGTGTCAAAATATCCAGCTCGTCTGCAGCCTAAACAGCGGCTGTTCAGTCATACTCAGTTCCAGTGGTAATCATATTGCACCAGCAGACTCGACCATTCCCAGTAAATCTACAGGTTAATGTCGAATCACATTATAGATCTGGGTTGTCATCTTGCTTCTTTTAACTAATAACGGTCATGGTCATTTCAAACAGTGCAGAGCGGTTTGGTAGAAATTAAAACATCTGTCCTTGGACTAAGTTTGGAGTGCTATTTGTCAACTTCATTTTGAGAAAACTAAGTGTTTTGAACACTTATTTTGAACTACTCACGACTATGTTCTTTTTAATCTTCAACTTAAGCAATAAGCGTTACATATATAACTACCTGTGACCATTTTCGGAATGTTATTAGATTGCAGACCAGTGCACCCTGTGTTGTTACGCCTTGCAAGAGAGCACCGTTTTCAAACCGTTGTTGACCTCATGGTAGAATGGAGATAAAGCTACTGTGTTTTGAAATTTGATATATCCAACTGTAAAGTAGATACCTCTTATTTATATATTTGAAACCTTGTGCTAAAGCGCTCGACTCCAAATTAAAATATGAGATATCTATTCTACAGTGGGACTACATCAAATTTAAAAGCACAGTAGGTTGATCTCCTAATTAGACATCATTTAAAGGTCACTAGCCATTTGGCCTAATAATTGGGCACCATCTTCCTGAGTTAAAGACAATTGAAGAATGTACAGATGCCCTTCTCTTTCCATAGACTGGATCAATGTCACAGATGCCCTTATATGTTCCTTCATATCTATGTCAAGCAGTTCTGACTGAGAAAAGTAGATGGACATTTGAAGTTAAGTGAGTATTTATTTTCATTATTATAATAACATGATGCTTCACATGGTATGTTTCTAAAATATATATATAACAGCAAGTTGACGATGAATATGAGACTCACAGAACAGTTTAATCTGGTACATATGTTCTTTCCAAAAAGTAATTGGATCCACATTTTAAACTATTCAAACACACTATTTCCTTACATCATACTAAACATGGATAATGGTACAAATGAAGGCACCTATAGACCACCATGCGACACGAGAAAGTTATGCACTTAACTGTTCTTTCTTCGTTTCGCAATCAACGCTGCTGTGTCTCCTTGTTTCGTCCTGGCGTTAATGTTCAGAAGGTTCTTTGAAAAGATATACTTAACCATGTCTAGAGTTCCCTTAGTACAGACCAAGTGAAGGATGTTCTCGCCATTATAAGTCACCATTGACATATTACCTCCTCTTCTCAATATGAAGTCAAACACTTCTCTATGTGCCCACTGTGCTGAGATCATCAATGCTGTCTTCCCATTCCAACGTCTGCTATTGATGTCTACAAAATATTGAGAGACAACGTATTTAACCATCTCCAAATGTCCCCCAATGCAAGCCGCATGAAGGATGTTGGTTTCTTCCTTTGCCGTCAGTGACACATTACTCCCTTTACTCATAAGCAAATCCAACATTTCTCTGTTTCCCAGTCTTGCTGCCACCATCACTGATGTCCATCCGTGTTGTCCTCTTCTGTTGATGTCTACCTTGTTCAGTGAGAGGACATATTTCACCATCTCCATCTGTCCCCCAGCACAGGTATAATGTAGGATGTTGTTACCACGTCGATCTCTCAATGACACATCAGCTCCTTCACTTACAAGAACGGCAAGCACATTTCTATAACTCCTGTTTGCTGCCATCATCACAGGTGTCCTGTTGCACTTCGTTCTACTGTTGATGTCAAGGATATTCTGTGATAAGATATACTTTACCATCGCCACATGTCCTATACAAGTGGCTATGTGAAGAATGTTGTAACCATGATCTTCAACAAGTGACACATTACTTCCTGCATTTATGAGAAGTTTTACGACGTCCTTATGTCCTGCGCATGCTGCCGCCATCACCGGTGTCCTTTCCCGCCTGTCCCTGCTGTTGACATCCAGTTGTCCCTCAGACAAGATACGTCTCACCATGTTCAGGTTCCCCTCCCATCATTCATCGTGAAGTTGGTTGTCCATTGACCTACCCTCCTGGTCACATGGTTTATCTGGTATGTATCTTTCAGGAGAGAACTGCTTTACACCTGTATATATTGGAAAGTTGATATAAATATCTGAAATAAATAGTCAGCGTTTGATTGTAGTTTATATCACACTTTGTCTGTGTGGTTGGTGATTAGGTGACTTGGTTGACAGCGTGGAATCAACCCCCAACGACATGAATAAATCCTCATGATACTGATCACATGATTGTCAGGTCCAGAACCGATTGTTTACAGGCCGCCTTTTTATGACAGCAGTATTGATGGATGCGGAGTAAAGGCAACCAACAAACACTAACTTTTATCTGAAAATTGTTAGTGGCGGTTGGTAGAGCATTTCCCTTTTGGCAAACACCAGGCGTCATCACTGATTTTCAGTGATCCATTCATATAAATTTTATCACTATTTGCTTTTTATCTGTTTGAGCGAATAATAGCGACGAGAGTACTGTTTCTGTGAATGATAGTTTTCTTTCTGGAAATTTAACATTAAATGTAGAAATTGTTGTGGCATGTATAAGAGATTTCATGTTTGATGCATTCTTAATTTTGAGGAACATTTGTCTCAAACATAATGATGCAGTTACCTGTAACACAAACCGATTTTTCAGATCGAGCCTTCAAACATCGGGTCGTGACACTGCAAGACTTGGCTACACAAGGGCTTGTCGGAACCTTTGGTCAGAAGAAAGAAAAACTATATGATCATGATGTGTGTGTTCTATATGCTACGGGTTTTGTTGATATACAAACATGTCTGTATAGTTACCGTGGGCATGGCATTCATGACTGTTAATGGATAGTATGGAAATAGTTGCCCCAAACAAACATCTGTATATTTATTGTGGTTACAGTTCCTTTTTGAGTTTCAGTCTATATATTGTTGTGTTAGTTCTTACATGTCTGCATACATAATGCGGATGATGCTCATGTGTATGTTTGGATGTATACCTTTATATGCATCTATGTTTGTGTACATACACATTTATCGTTAGACCCAGGTAGAGAATAGGTCTTCAGCAACCCATGATTGCCGTAACAGGCGACTATGCTTGTCGTAAGAGGCGGCTAACGAGATCAGGTGGTCAAACTTGCTGACTTGGTTCATACATGTCATCGTATCCCAATTGAGTAGATCGATGCTCATGATCTCAATCACTGTTTATTTGTTTGTTTGTTGTTTAACGCCGCACTCAGACATATTTCAGTTATATGACGACAGTCTGTAAATAATCGAGTCTGGACCAGAACATCCAGTGGTTTATTTACAGACCGTTGCAATATCGCTGAAATATTGCTGTGTGGCGTTAAACAACAAACAAACAAAAACAGAAAACTTTTATCGTTAATATTTGGTACACCAGCGTAAACAGACAGTGGGTATCATTCTACAAAAGTATATATTAATAATCAGGGAATTATACAAAATATACAATATAAACTCAACAATAAAAGTTCCTGAGACACCAATATTTTGTGTATTTTGGTTTTCAATACAGTCCAATGCAGTCAGAGACCATCCTCGGAGTGGAAGGCCATGCGTAACCAAAATAATCGACATGACATCTGGATTCGAACAACAAACCCATGAAATCGATTCCAGCCAGCAACAGGTGACTGCAACAAGCATCCCTGGCTTGTTTAGGATTCTCTTCAACAAAACAACGTAACTGTCATTCCCTGGCCGGCTCGCGCCCCTGATCCAGCAGATATGGACACGTATCCCACAGGACTTTGTGCGACGCCTGGTCCATTCCCCGAGACGAAGATGTGCTGCTTGCATCGCAACCAGATTGTGTACACACATGCTATTGATTTGTAAATTGACATTTTGGCATGTTCATGTTTTTTTATGAAATCACGCATTTTCTGAAGTGAGTATGGCAAATTAAACCATTTGAACACTTAGAGGAGTCTTTTATCTGTTGCAAACCGAAATTGTTTCAGATTTGGTAAAAAACTTAACTTTGCATTAAATCTTATTGAATGTCAAAGGAACTTTTGTTGTTCAGTATATACATACATACATACATACATACATACATACATACATACATACATACATACATACATTTATAAATTCTGACGGAATAGAGGATAAGGAGGACTAAGCTGGTTTATTTTAAGGTTGGCACAAACATTAAGCTTAAATCCTGAAGAAATCTTAGAGAAGCACAGGATGCACCACTCGGGACACAAATGTCCAGACGCTTCCTCTGACATATGCCACCAACCTGACGATGGAGATAGCCAATATAATATATCACCATGTGACGTCCTACGTGTTGTCTATATCACGTTTCAAGTCATGCAGGACGACACTGTTTACGACACGTATTGATTTAGTATAGACTAAACCTATAAAATATTTATCTCTCGTCTTGAAAATAGCAAAGAAATGTCACATAAAACATCAATCGAATGATAAGAACAATTAACTATTGAACAGAGTTATAATAATTATTTACTGACTGACATATATCTTTAGCTTGATATTCGAGAATGATTATCATCAGGTAACGTGAAGAATTTGGTGACCATAATTGTGTTACCTCTCGACTTCCAAATTGAAACAATAAGAAAATCTAGAAATGTATGCGCCAAAACATTCAATAAGAAAACAACACATATCAAGGAAACGTATACAATTAGTACTGACTTGAACTGTCCAGTGGTTGGTTTGGTTGTATATTTCTAGTGGAACAAGAACGTGTTTACGTATCTCTCACACATTTCGTGTCTTACGTTTTTCTTTGCTTAGGTACCAGGTTTCTCGAGAACATCGGTCATCATCCCTGATTCACTGCCTAGCCCCTACCGGAAGCTTGGCTGTTGTCGACGCTGAGTGAATATATCTTTTTGTCACTGACTTATCCTATCACCAATTTATTTTTGTATTTGATACTGACCACTGCCATCATATTATATTGCCATTGAATATATATTGTACTCCTACAATATTGTGTACTGCCACTGTCATTGCTGTGCAGTAATTTGTATTGATGTGTACCTAGTTAATTTTTGTAATACCCTTGTTGATTTTATATTGCTTGCTGGTTGCTCACACTGGGTTCTTTTACTTACATATTTCTGGATTAACATATTGTTTCAATTTGGGAATTGACACGTAACATTGTGCAATCCATACATACCCAAAACCATGTCGGAATAGTATCTTACTCATTTTTCGGTGATTTCGGTGTTTTCCATCAATTTATACTTTCTAACATTTTTGGCATCGATGAGGGTGCTTCTGAAGTGACATTCTCAAGAGACGAAGCCAGTACCTGGTGAGGCTGTTTACTTTGAAGTGCTAACAGTGTTCCGCCCTTTCTAAACACGGCGACTTTACTTTGTTCTAAATTGATATCCAGACCTCACATCATAGAATAGTCATGAAGTTTATTTAATCTTCGTTGTAACTTGACAACATTATCAGCTACCCCGTGAAGATTCCGGGTAAGAATTGGCCTTCAGCAGCCCATGGTTTTTGTAAGAGGCGACTAACGGGATCGGGTGGTCATGCCCGCTGACTTGGTTCATACAATTTCCGTATCCCAATTTTGAGGATCGATGATCATGATCTCAATCACTGTTTGTTTGTTTGTTGTTTAACGTCGCACATCACAAACATCGATCCACACAATTTCTTTTCCAGAAAATTGCTGAGTGCGACGTTAAACAACAAATAAACAGACAACATTATCAGCCACCAAAACCAGATCTTTCGCTAAAAGCAGCTAGTCATGTTAAGCATTTCCTCCCATATAAATACTCCGTCTTGAAATGAACTGTTAAAATAAGTAGCGAGTTCAATAATGAACAATGAAGTCAAATATTAGATATATAAATGAACTGCATGCTGAAGAATTTCTGGAAGACCCTTTCTAAAGCTGGCGGAATATTCTTCAATTAACGCATCCATTTGCAGATACGATTCTATATAGTCTCTTATTAAGATGTGTTTGTTTGTTGCAATGTTACTGCTATATAAAGGCGTTTTGTAAATAATCAAGTATCGACTAGCCAATCCAGTGATTGACATCATAATCATTGATTCACCTAATTCGGATACGATGACATGCATCAACTAAGTCAGCGAACCTGACAATCCGATCACGTCAGTCACCTCTTACGACAAGCATAGTCGCCTTGTACGGCAAACTTTGGTTGCTAAAGACCTATTTGTACCCCAGATCTACACAGGTCCTCTCTTTCAGAAGAAAGGTGGACATTTTCCCAAAGCCTGGTCAACTCGAATACTCATACCTGGACATAAAAAAAGAGAAACTGGACCGACCCCAAAACTACCGAGACACCAGTGTTAAAAACAGGCAAAAAAGATAAACCTTTGTTCGGAATAGAATGCAGACGATTTCGAAAGCAATATAATAGAGCAAAAATGTGTCTTAAAAATTAAAAACAAAACAAAACCAGAGAACCAAGAATGTATGGATGAGAATATACGTGAATATAAAGACAATTTAAACAAGCATGAAATACTCATATCCCCCGCAAATATGACATGTCCGGTTGTGTGCAATGCATTAGCTCCTGCGAACTATGTTCACCGGACCGTTTTGTAAATGGCCTAATCGCAGCACTAAAAAACGTTATTACTGGTAATGTTTTGCCATCTGGAGTTTATGATAGAATACGTTACTGTATTTGTAATGAGTAAAGATGAGACATATGGACAAACAACTTCTTTATTACAATTAGGAGCGACGTTTTGGTGTAGGTTCTAACACCGTTATCAAGCAAGTAAAGTACATAGTATGGTTGACAAGAATATATACAGGACAGGAGACAGTGTTTATACAGTTAAGTTGGTTAAAGATCAGTTACACTGTTGTATTTGTAATGGGTTGTGTTATATATTAAACAATAATCAGAGAAGTAAGGAAGTTCTTACTTTACTTAGAGATCAATGAGAGCAGGGGTCACCATAAGGTGTACTGAGAAGTACAGCACCAATCATCTGATGATCTGAGTAGTAGACTTTGGTATAAATCTTCACATAAATCACCAACAGCAGACGCACCAGAATCAACGTACTGCCTAGTGCACGAAACGTTTACCGACCATAAGATTCTCTATTGAAGGCTTTTGATGTTACGGTAGTACCACTACTTCTCTACTATTCCGAAATATGGGGTTTTGAAAATTTAGAAATAATAGAGAAAATGTACCTGAAATTAAAAGAAGAGTAACTGGTCTGAGGAAATCAACACCCAATTTTATGGTTTATGTGGAACTTGGCATGAAACAGGTAATGACGAATATATGACTTGTGTCAAATCGGTGAATGATGAAGAATGTGGCTATATATAACAGGGACTGGTTCGTCATTGACAACACACATAAAACATTTATCTCTTGGTAAGATATGGAAAACCGATCCAACATCAGCTGAAAATAAGACTTAGTATCTATCTGATTGTAATGATATACTTAAACTGAATTTGAAATATGTGGACAGGTGAATTCATTGTATCTCTTTGACTTGACTAGTTTGCGGTTGTTGTTATCGATGTACGAAATGCAGTTAAAAGAAACGTGTTTCTACCAGGTACTATTACACATCAAGACGATTGAAATGTTTACAATTCGGCAATGTAGACGCACAGAAAAGTTTTAACCGGCACATATTTTCAGCCAAAACAAGAACACATTTCAAACACATATCCTGACGTCATACTAAACGTAGATGTCGTAGAAAAGTAACCTATTTGCCTCCATGCGATGCGAGAAAGTCATAGAGTTCAATGCTCTTTTTTTGTCTTGCTATCAACGTTGCTGTATCACCTTTGTTAGTCCTGGCGTTAATGTCCAGAAGGTTCTTTGAAAGAATAAACTTCACCATGTCTAGATTTCCCTTCTGACAGACCAAGTGAAGGATGTTCTTGCCTTCTTTTGTCACCATTGACATATTACCCCCTCTGCTCAGAACGAAATCAAACACATCTCTGTGTCCCATCATTGCTGACAACATCAGTGGTGTCTTCCCATTCCAACGTCTGCTATTGATGTCTACAACATCCTGAGAGACAACGTATTCAACCATCTCCAAATGTCCCCCCCATGCAAGCTGCATGAAGGATGTTGGTATCTTCATTTGCCGTCAGTGACACATTACTACCTTTACTTATAAGAAAGTCCAACATTTCTCTGTTTCCCAGTCTTGCTGCCACCATCACTGATGTCCATCCGTGTTGTCCTCTTCTGTTGATGTCTACCTTGTTCATTGAGAGGACATATTTCACCATCTCCACCTGTCCCCCAGCACAGGTATAAAGTAGGATGTTGTTACCACGTTGATCTCTCAATGACACATCAGCTCCTTTACTTACAAGAACGGCAAACACATCTCTATAACCCCTGTTTGCTGCCATCATCACAGGTGTCCTGTTGCACTTCGTCCTACTGTTGATGTCAAGGATATTCTGTGATAAGATATACTTTACCATCCCCAAGTGTCCTATACAAGTGGCTATGTGAAAAATGTTGTAACCATGATCTTCAACAAGTGACACATTACTTCCTGCATTTATGAGAAGTTTTACGACGTCCTTATGTCCTGCGCAAGCTGCCGCCATCACCGGTGTCCTTTCCCGCCTGTCCCTGCTGTTGACATCCAGCTGCCCCTCAGACAAGATACGTCTCACCATGTTCAGGTCCCCCTCCCAGCATGCATCGTGAAGTTGGTTGTCCATTGACCTGCCCTCCTGGTCACATGGTTTATCTTGTATGTATCTTTCAGGAGAAAACTGCTTCCCACCTGTATATATTGGAAAGTTGATACAATCACTGAAATAAATAGCCAGCGTTTGATTGTAGTTTATATCACAATTTGTCTGTGTGGTTGGTGATTAGATGACTTGGTTGACAGCGTGGAATCGACCCCCGACGACATGAATAATTTCTCATGATACTGATCACATGATTGTCAGGTCCAGAACCGATGTGTTACAGGCCGCCTTTGTGTGGCAGGAAACTCCTTGATGCGGAGTTCAAGAAACAAACACTTACTTTTTTCTGAAAAATTGTGTGAGTGACGGTTGCTACCAGTAGAGCTTTTTCCTTTTGACAAACACCGGGTGTCATCACAATTTTTCAGTTATCCATCATTTCAATTTATTGATATTTGCTTTTTACGACCCATGGAATCTGTTTTGACATAAAAGAGACGAGTGTACTAAAACAGTTTCTGTGGACATTAGTTTTCTTTCGGGAAACTTTTCATTGAAATTTAGAAATTGTTTTGGCATGTACAAGTGATTTCTTATTTGATGCATTCTTTATTTTGAGGAACATCTGTCTCAATCATTATCATCAAAATGATGCAATTACCTGTAACACAAACCGTTCGTCCAGATCGAGCCTTCAAACATCGAGACGTGACACTGCAAGACTTGGCTACACAAGAGCCAGTTGGAACCTTTAGTCAGAAGTAAGAAAAGTATATGATTATAATGTATGTGTGTTCTATATGCAACAGGTTTTGTTTGTTTGTTTTGTTTGTTGTTTAACGCCGCACTCAGCAATATTCCAGCTATATGACGGCGGTCTATAAATAATGGAGTCTGGACCAGACAATCCAGTGATGGACATCATGAGCATCGATCTACGCATTTTGGATATGGTGACATGCATAAAACAAAATCAGCGAGCCGGACGACCCGATCCCGTTAGTCGCCTCTTGCGACAAGCATAGTCACCTTTTACAGCAATGATGGGTTGCTGGCACAAGAGTGTGTATAGTTACTTTTGGTATGGCTTTTATGTGTGATGTCTGTAAATAGATAGTATGGACATGTTTGCAATATGGAAACATCTGTATATTTGTTGTGGTTATTGTTCTTGTTTGTGCGTCTGTGTATATATTGCTAGTTTTGTTCTTACATGTCTGCATACATAATGTGGATGATGCTCATATGTTTGTTTGTGTGTATACGTTTACAAACATAACTGTTTGTGTACATATTGCACACAAACAATAACACATTTATTGTTAGACCCGTGAATTTCTGGGTAGAGAATAGGTCTTCAGCAACCCATACTTGCCATAAAAGCCGACTTTGCATGTCGTGAGAGGCGACTAACGGGATCGGGTGACCAGGCTAACTGATTTAGTTGATGTCACCATATCCAAAATGCGTAGATCGATGCTCATGATGTCAATCACTTGATTATCTGTTCCAGACTCGATTATTATAGATCGTCGTCATATAGCTGGAATATTGCTAAGTGCGGCGTTAAACAACATACAAACAAAAGCTAAAGTAAGTTAATGTTAGGTTGGCGCAAACATTAAGCATTAAAGAGGGATAACGTTTTGTTCATTTAGGGATATAATAACTGAGGGTACTGTTCATATATGCATAAAACTGTGTATATAACATGCAAGTTCTGTTCACAAAGACATACCTATCTATATAACCATTGCTTATTGTTCATAGCTTCATATGTGGATTTATAAACTGTGAGTTTCGTTCATACATGTGTCATTCTATGTGTCTTGTGAATTGTTTATAAACATTTTATGGTAGTTAAGTATCAAAATAGAAATATAAAAAATTAAATATGGCAGAATGTACAAATTCATGACAATGCTGTGTTAGTTAGACCAAATGGCAAAAACGTAGCTTTCAGCTAAATTCTGTTTCTGAAAAGAAAATGATATTCTGTGGTAATAAGCATTCATGTAATTGATTTTATCATACTGTTGTATGATGCATATTATTATGGGTTTCTTGGTAAATTAACACACCAAGTGATAAACTTACGTCGGTTTGATTCCTAAGATGAAATATGCGTCCTGCATTCTTCTCAACATTCTTTGATTCAGCACTCAGTAGGTGGCAGGTTAAAAGTTCCAAATCGTATTCAAAACTCAAACAGCCACCTTGTTCGAGACATTTGACTTGGCACAACTTAAAGCCAATGTTCCCAATAGTGACATAATTTAGAATCGTTGTGTCCCTTACAAAAAAGCGGCATGGAACCTTCAAGCACGTTGACAATGTAATAACAGAATAAGCTGCTACTATCAGAAGCATGTTCCCACTGTCACCGAGACACTTCATCCTTAAGAAATCTTAGAGAAGCACAGGATGCACCACTCCGGACGCAAATGTCCAGTCGCTTCCTCTGACATGTACCACCAACCTGACGATGGATATAGCCAATATAATATATCACCATGTGACGTCCCTCTTGTTGTCTATATCACGTTTCAAGTCGTGCAGAACGACACTGTATACGACATATAATGATTCAGTATAGACTAAACCTATAAAATATTTATCTCTCGTCTTGAAAATAGCAATGAAATGTCAATAAAACATCAATCAAATGATAAGAACAAATAAGTATTCAACAGATTTATAATGATTATTTACTGAATGACATATATCTTTCCCATGATATTCGAGAATGATTATCATCAGGTAACGTGAAGAATGTGGTGACCATAATTGTGTTACCTCTCGACTTCCAAATTGAAACAATAAGAAAATCTAGAAATGTATGCGCCAAAACATTCAATAAGAAAACAACACATATCAAGGAAAGGTATACAATTAGTACTGTCTTGAACTGTCCAGTGGCTGGTTTGGTTGTATATTTATAGTGGAACAAGAACGTGTTTACGTATCTCTCACACATTTCGTGTCTTACGTTTTTCTTTGCTTAGGTACCAGGTTTCTCGAGAACATCGGTCATCATCCCTGATTCCCTGCCTAGCCCCTACCGGAAGCTTGGCTGTTGTCGACGCTGAGTGAATATATCTTTTTGTCACTGACTTATCCTATCACCACTTTATTTTTGTATTTGATACTGACCACTGCCATCATATTATATTGCCATTGAATATATATTGTACTCCTACAATATTGTGTACTGCCACTGTCATTGCTGTGCAGTAATTTGTATTGATGTGTACCTAGTTAATTTTTGTAATACCCTTGTTGATTGTATACCACTTGCTGGTTGTTCACACTGGGTTCTTTTACTTACATATTTCTGGATTAACATATTGTTTCAATTTGGGAATTGACACGTAACATTGTGCAATCCATACATACCCAAAACCATGTGGGAATAGTATCTTACTCACGCATGTAGCCCGATTTTGGTGTTTTCCATCAATTTATACTTTCTAACATTTTTGGCATTGATGAGGGTGCTTCTGAAGTGACATTCTCAAGAGACGAAGCCAGTACCTGGTGAGGCTGTTTACTTTGAAGTTCTTACAGTGTTCCGCCCTGTCTAAACACGACGACTTTACTTTCTCTAAATTGATATCCACACCTCACATCATAGAATAGTCTTGAAGTTTATTTAATCTTCGTTGTAACTTGACAACATTATTAGCTACCCCGTGAAGATTCCGGGTAAGAATTGGCTTTCAGCAACCCATGCTTTTTGTAACACTGCAAACACGAAAACGTCGTTTTTTTCCGTATATGGTCATTGGACGGAAAAACGACTAAAAATTCATTAAAATTGATTAATTGGTCAGCGTCTAGAAAGTGTCCAGAAAAGGGTCGAGTTTTTCAAGCGTAAAATGGACGGAAAAACGATGCTTTTTGCTCCGCCTTGTACAACTGTTAACGGCCAATCAGATGGCGCTGGTCCCCCGACGCACGTGATGTCCAAGGCTTCCTTTCGGAAGCTTTAGGTTTCGTATTTCTGGCATGCCTTGCTCTAGTATCTGTCGCGCGCAGTGCAGCGAGATTTGCTGATAAGCTAGTTTTAGGATATGTTACATGTTAATGGAATACAGACACACGCCAAGAAGTAAAACCAAACATGTTACTAAGTTTATTGTGGTAACGGCTATGTACAGTTACCCCTATCGGATAATGGGTTGTGTTTCATTTTGTTATAACAATAGCTAATTTTTTAATGTGAAGTTTACAAGATTTACGACTTGGACGCGAGGTCGGTCACATGACGTTCTTCACGTGACTGTATTCTTGAAAAGGCGTAAACACTGACTACTTCCACATTCCTGGGGAAAACCCTTGGAATTCCCTGGTACGAATTCATACAGAAGCGAGGTTGCAAGCCCATTTAAGGATACCCTCGCTACAACCCATCCCAGAGAGAAAAAAACACGAAAAAAAATCCAAACTGTCGCAGTGACAATTTACAGAAATCTATGAATTTACCTTAGTATCTATTTGACACATCTTCACAATCACCTTTCAATGATCGGCCAATTGATCAGTGATGCCAAAGGCTTGAAATAGCCACAGGTTAATTAACAACTTCGAAAATATCTCCCGTCACGTTTATCGTGTCGGCCATTTTGACGTATTGTACTTGATGTAAATGTATTACGACCATCTGTCATTGTAAATGACTTACTGAGGTAATTCTGTAAAAGATCTTCTCATCTAATGAGGATATTGTTTGGAATATATTTCTTGTAAACATACTAAAACATATGTTCCTCGCTTTGGGGGGAACTATTTTATTCCGGGGTGGCCCATTAAATCTAGTAGTAAGTCAAGGCACCATGCGTGATCTGTTATTTTAAGTGTTTAAATTACAATTTGGGGCGTTAATAAAATACACTGACGCAAGTATATTCTATTCAAATCAACTGGATAATTGAATATGCTTTCTTTTACATATTACATAACATCACTGTACAAAATATGAACAGTTGCAGTAACACACTACGGTAATCGCATTAAACATAATTTTCAACTGTACAGTATTTCGGTATTTCAGTTATATCATGGTGTATCAGACTGATGTGGGATAAAA